TCAAGGCCTTTTGTGCCTTTTCAATTACAGTTTTTGCTTCTGGAGTCAGCTCCCTAGGAGACAGTAACTCTCTCTCCCCTTTTAATAAATTGAGTTGGGGACTCAGGTCTTCATTTGTGAGACCTAGCCATGGTCTGACCCAGTTTAGTGACCCGCATAGAGAATGAAGATCTGCTAGAGTTTTAGGATTACCAATAATATCCAATTTTTGCGGAACAACAGTCCGTGCAGTAACTTCCAGGCCCAGGTATTTCCAAGGTGGCATCCTTTGAACTTTGTCTTCCTGCAATTGGAATCCAGCAGAGGTTAAAACTTTAACCACTAGGTCAAGGGTATCTTTCAGTATGTTGTTATTGGGACAGCATATTAAAATATCGTCCACATAATGCAAAATGATAGCCTCTCTCTTTTCAGCATGCACTGAGGACAGCAATGACCCCACATACCACTGGCAGATGAAAGGGCTGGCTTTCATCCCCTGAGGTAATACTGTCCAGCGGTACCGTTTCATTGGAGCTTCCCGGTTAATTGTAGGAATGGAAAAGGCAAACCTTGGTGCATCCTCTGGGTGCAAGGGAATTTGAAAAAAGCAATCTTTAATATCCAGTGCTGCTAGTAACCAATCTTGTGGTAACGTAGTGGGAGATGGCATTCCTGGTTGGAGAGATCCCATATCCTGTATTTTTTTGTTAATTTATTTCTCTTAAATCTTGAAGGAGACACCATTTATCTTTCCCTGGCTTTTTTATTACAAACACCGGGGAATTCCAAGGGCTTGTTGTTTCCACTATGTGTCCTTTGGCCAATTCTTCTTCCACCAATTTTTCTAGCACTCCGAGTTTTTGTTTGCTGAGAGCCCACTGGTTCACCCAAATTGGATTATTATCTACCCAAGATAGCTTTTGGACCGGACGCTCTACAGTGGCCTCTATCAAAAAATCTTGAGGTGTCTCAGGAATTGTTAATTTCACCCCCCACTGGGACATGGTGTCTCTCCCCCACAGGGGGCACTTGTAGTCAATAACAAAAGGTCGGACACTAGCTATCCTACCGCGCGGACCTTCGATCTGGATGGTGTCTTTAGCATTTTAGCCCATCCCTCCAACACCCTGTATTTGTCCTGCTACTGGTTGTAGTTCCCAGTGTGAGGGCCACACCTTCTCCGGTATGATGGTCACATCTGCCCCAGTATCAATTAACCCTTCTACATGGAGATGTTCTGATTTATGTGTTAAATTACACCCAATAATGGGCTAGTCTTCACCCATTACTTCTGCCCAGTAGACTCCTGGTGCTTTGTCATCTACTGGGACTTCTGTTGGAACAGGGATTACCTGGGCTATTACCTGCCCTTTGTCTACATAGAAAGGTGGTTGGGGGCACCTAGCTAAGAGAATGAGGTGTGTTAGGTCTCCCTTAATTGTCATGGGAGCCGCCTCAATCTCTATTGGTGTGTGTGCTGTGTCTCCAATAACAAAATACCTACTATCCAGTCCAGCCAGATCTTGTGAATTATCCTGCAAATCTACTCCAATGACAGTCCAACGATCAGATCTGAAACAAAAAGCTTTAGAAGTTACAAGTCTGAATCGCTTTTGCGGTTGCCAGACCTTATTAGGCAAACGTTCCTCACAATTATATTTCTGCAGTCTCCCACCCCGCTCCCTTTCCTCCCCTTTTCCCATTAAAATAGAGTCTTTTTTCTGCTTCGGGTCTGTCATTTTTATGTCTCTGCGCTTGACAGAAAAGCACTGAAGCTTTAGTTTTTTGGTTGATTTTCTATAACTTCTTTTTGCTGTTTCCCTTGTTTCTGGGTTTGAGGACAGTTCCTTGCAAAATGACCTGGCCTCTTGCACTGGAAACAGACGATGTGCTGCAGCTGTCCTGGTGACATCTGTCGCTTGTTCATTCCTGGTGTCACTGCTGCCATTGTCCTTGGGTTGCCTGGTTTCTTGTCATGTACACTGTACAAGTCTGCTTTCTGGGCACACGCTTCAATCTTATCTGCTATGGTGGGTGGAGGATTGATAGGAAGACTCAGAATTACTCTACGACAAGCCTCGTTGGCATTTCTTTGGGCCATTTCTTTAAGCAGTTCCATCTGGGCCGCTGGTTCTTTGACTTGTCTCTGTATCTGTAGTCTCAGACGATCTACAAACTGTAAGAAACTCTCACATGGAAACTGGTTAATATTAACATAACTGACTTGAATATCAGCTGTTGGTAATTGGTAAAAAATGTTTTCAGCCACATCACAAACTTTATCAGCAACAAACTTTGTTAATATTTTCACTTGATCAGCAGGATTAATCCAATTTCCCTCCCCACATAAATGTTCTAAAGTGATTTCATTGTTCTCTGTATCATGTGCATTTTGATTACTTTGTTTGAGTTCAGCTAGGAGTTTTGTTAACGATCTTTTCCATAAGCTTTCCCAAAGATCATATTCAGAGGGAGTTAGCAAACACCAAAATAAATCTTTAATATCTGCAGGAATTAAATCCTGTCATTTCAATGTAGTTCTTATTATTCCCCTTAAGACTTCACTATCACAACCAAAATCATTTTTAATTTTACAAATATCTTTGATTACTTGGTAACTGAAAGGCTGATGTTGTAATCGCATTGCTCCTCTGCTGTTACTGTATACTACAGGAGCTGCTGTTAGCATAACTTCATCTTCTCCAGGGCTGGCATTCCCTGGCCTTCTTTGCTCGCCCCCGCCCACGCCGGGCTCCAGGGTGCCTGTTCCTTCCCCACACCTGTGGAGAGACCCAGCCCCACCCCTGCAGGAGCAAAGTGTAACTCTCTCCCTCCCCGCCCCTCCTCCCCGCGGGACAGGGGGCAGAGGGATAGGGGATAGGGTTACAGCCTCAGGGGACAGGGTCATAGGGTGGGGCCAGGCAGGGCTGGGGGGTGGAGCAGGGTGGAACATCAGGGGGAACAAAGGGGTTGTGATAAGAGTTATGGGTGGAAACCGGTGGGTGGGAGGGATCATGTTTAGGAGAAAGGGGATACACAGCGGGATTCACCATGTGGCCAGGTAACATGTGGCCAGTGCCATTTTGGCTCTCAGCCATGTGGGGATAGGAAGATACATTTTCTGTAACACTGACAGGGTATAGGGAGGGAGCCTTGATGGCTTGTGAGGCAGGACTGGGTGACTGAGAGAGACACACCGGACTAGAACTTGCATTGTTTGTCTCGGGTATCTTTTCTAGTGGGGGAACAGAGGTTTTAGGGGAAAAGTTAGGGAAGTTAGATGGATACTGCGGTGTTTGTTTGTCTTCCGTTTTTATTTCTCTGTTAACTAATTCTTTTTGAATTAAAAGAAAAACCGGGAGGAATTTCAAGGCCGATTTGTCTCCTCCTTCTATTTTTAAGGTTAATAAACTTCCAATTTCATCCCAGGCAGCTACTGAATCTAATTTCAACAATTCGATCTGTTCACTTTGCTGAGTCAAATATGATACAAACTGTTTTATCTTCTGTTTTGAATTTTTTACATTTGTGGTTTTTAAAAAATTCTGTATTTTTTGTGTATGACTCCTTTCTTGTGTGCAGAGCCGGGATCCCATTTTGGAGGTCACAGCAGCTCTGCACACAATCTGTCTATTTTCCCTAGCACAGAAAACGAAATTGCACCAAAAGGATTACAATTAAACTCACACTGTACCGGCAGCAGGGAGAATTCCCTCTCCCCCACACTCTGTCTCTGCCCACGGCTGGGGGAACCCCACACGCTTGGGGCTGCTGCAGCTGGGAAGGAGTTACACGGAACAGTCCCCCGGGGTCTGTTTCACTCTCCACCCCTCCCAGCCCGGTGTCGGAGTTCAACCTTACCTTTTTCTGTTGTTTTCTGGCGATGGAAAGATACCCGTTGCCCTGGAGTTGGTCCCCCGGTGCCGGAGGATTTTTGACTCCTTTTAAAAAAATTTTTCTTTTGTATTTTTAAACAGCATCCAAAGTCTCTAAAGAACGGTTCACCCTGGCTCTGATAAGCCTTGGTGGGCTTGTTCAGCCCCTACGGTCGGGCGCCACTCTTTGCAATCCTTCTCCCCGATAGGACCCCTCTGTCCCACCCCAGTGGTGAGAGCTTGCTCATCTCAGGGCACAGGCAGCGGAGAGAGTCCTGGAGTGGATACAACACGCACTCAAAGTATCCAGACACAGAAGGCTCAAACTTGCTGGAATAATCCCAGGTTTATTGTCTGTTGTCCATCTGGGGCAAGTGAGAGACCAAATTGCTCTGGGTCTTATCTCTTATACCAGGGGGCAGAGGTGATTAGGGGATGCAGGGAGGCCACAGCCAATGGGAAGGGGGAAGGGAAAGAAGGTTTTCAGGTAGGAACTAACATTACACAAACCAGAGGTGAGTTTTACCCTTGGGAGGAACCAAGACTTGTAGATGCACTACAACACCGCTCCAAGGGCATTCCCTGCCACGCACAGGACATGGGCACTGCCATACTGTCCCTGCCATACTGACAACACAAATGCTGCTCCAGTGTCATGCAAACACCTCTGGCTAGTTTGTTACTTGGCACTGTTTCCCCACTATGCTATCCTTGTTCCTTCAGCAAGCCTACAGTGTGCTGGTCGATGTTAGCCATGCAGTAAATGGGCAGGCATGACAAGCATTTCAATTAAGGGGACTCTCCGGGATATTACCAAAGCATGATTGCACCCATAGAAATGAAGCAAGTGTTACTTGTTTTAGTCAGAAGCACTGGTGGCCAAAGGAGAGGGTGCATGTGCTTGGGGCCTGTTTAGTGTTACTCTTGGATCCTTTGAGCTATGGGTTCTGGACTGCAAGGAGGGTTTGTGCTGCTTTGGGACAGACGAGAACTTTCTGGGCTTTCTTTTGCATTAGCTGCAGAGAAGGTTCTGTTACTATGCATAAATTCACAGACCCACCTAGAGCGGCTGCTATTGTGATGTCAGCGGAGGGCTGCCACGTCACAGCGTGGTCAGGGGGAGGTTGCCCTGGTGCACGCACAGCGTCAGCGTCCAGAGCGGCTCTTGGCGTGCTCGTTGCAGGAGGACCCTGTGTTGAGGAGTTCTCAGGCAACACTCTGTGCCCTGGAAAGGGAATCTTTTTCTTTTGCCTGCCGTTGTACGAGTCTGTGGACTCGTGTAGGCATCCTTTTGTTTTCCCCTACGGTTGTAGGGTTTGCAGACACGTACAGGTGTCTTTGCTTTTTCTTTTTTCGTTCTACGAACTGCAGACTTGTGCAGGTGTCTTTTGGTTTTTCTTTTCTTATACAGTCAGCGGATTGCTGCGTGTGCCTTTTTTTTTCTCTTTTCCTTGCACAATCTGTGCAAGTGGGATTTTTTTCATTTGTGTTTTCTGGCCTGCGGACTCGAGCAGCCCTGCTGAAACAATGGAGCAATTCCGCAGTGCTGTCAGCAGGGCTTTTGCGTCAGTGTCATCCTGCAAAATGTTCAAAGGCCTGAGACGTAAGTAGAGGCTTTTTCCTTGGGGCAGCACACTGGAACAAAAGTGCCGTAAAAATGCCGTAAGTTTGGTAAAGCTCTTGCCAACAGCTTCAGCTAGAAAGGGGATGTCTCTTGGCCAGAAGGGTGTGGACAACTTCCAAAACACAGACTGGGAGAGCTTTGTAGGCATGATTCTAAAAACTGTGTGGTTCTCTCCAGAGCTGAGGGAAAGCAGCTTTTCTCTGCCTTCTGTCCTTAAAGAATGTGCCTGTCTAACTTGAGCCTCTCTGTGTGCTACAGTAGCGATTGGCTTTGCGCTGAAGGGGAAAGTGCCGAGCAGTCTGTGTGTGCTCCTGAAGCCCAGAGCTGGGCCTGTACTCTATCCGAAGGGAACTGCAAGCTCTAAGAGGGCTTTAGGGAAGTTTTCTGGGCAATGGTTTACAACAATTGCATGGGAAGTACTGCACAAAGTTTAAAAAAATAAAAGTCCAGGGAGGAGAGGAGGAAAAGGCTGCTTTAGCTGTAGGGTGAACAGCGGGCTACAATGTAGACACGGACTGCTAAGGAACCATTTGCATTTTGCAGCCAAGTTTCTAGTTCCTTAGTGGCAAAGCCAACTCAGGTAGGCACAGCCTAGGGTAGTGCCCTGTAGCCTTGCTTGCTGTGCTAAAGAAGGGCTGCTTTAGGGAGGGAGGTTGTGAAAGGAAAATGCTTTCTGCTTGGGGGACTTTTTCTGTGGGGTAGCCCAGCACAGACAGTTTTCCACCAGCACCTGGTTCATTTTCCCTTGTCTCTGGCAGGTTGTCTCAAACGTGGAAGGAATCAAGTCCGTGGTTTGGTGAGTGAGAAGGACACCCTTGACATTCCTGGTGTTCGAGAATTGTGGAGCAAGCTGTGGGCTTGGCCTGGTGCACTCGAGTGCCAGCCTGGCAGGCCAAAAGAAAGTCCACATCAGCGTTTGAATGAGCACTACCAAGAGGATTCCATCAGTTTCCTCCTTTTCCATTGAAGAAGTTTTTATTCATGAAAGTCAACTTTTCAGACAGGAGGCTGCCCGCCAATTGTAGCCAGGCTAAAATATCTCCCTTATATCAGAAGCATATGCAGTCCTGGCCAAACATTAGTCTCATCAGCCCACTTGAAATGAGTTCTAGTGGCTGAGGATGCCACTTCTATCCAAATTCATGACATCTCCCTAGGACAGCTGGGGATGGAGCTCAGGAGAAACAAGGCTCTCAATGACAGCTCACTGCCTGTCCCTCACACCCCTGTCTGTCTGCAGAGCAGCACACCAGCAGCAGAACCTCCTGTGGCTCGCCCTGTGCCTCCAGAGGCTGAAGGGGAGGCAAAGGATAACAATCCCGCCCGTGTTGTCAGTCCAGGGCCTGAGCATCCTGAACCAGTAAGTGCTAGCTTTGGTTGCTCCAGTGCAAAGCTTTGGTGCAGTGCAGGGCTGCAAGTTCCTGATCAGGCAGCGCTGGCCCTTTGTGGCTGAAGATGCTGAGGCCTGGAGTCCTGCCACGACCTGGCTCTTCAGCCCAGCCACTGACACCTGGGAATTGGCATCTGAACTTTCACATGCTGACATCATTCTGACT